TTTATGTCACACTCCCTCCCAGTCTATGTCTTGGAGAGCAGCTCTCAGCCTTGAAAAAGTAGCTCTCTTAAAATTGAGCATTTTTATTTTTCCCATATGTGCTTGCTGTTTACAGCTAACAATAAATGAAATCATGTTATGGTCACTGCTACGTAGATGTTCTTTTATATGAACATTCATAATAAGCGCTGCATGGTTTGAGATTACCAGGTCCAGCAGAGCATCATTCCTAGTTGGGGCCTGTATGAACTGTATCATAAAACTGTCCTGCTGTCCTGTTGTAGGTTTAAAAATTTTTTCCCTTTTTAACTGTTCCTGCAGTACCATTACTCCAGTCAATTTCCAGGTAGTTAAAATCCCCCATTATTATCCCTGTCCCAGCCCTTTTGATCTGTGCAAGAAGCTGAGTCTCCACCTGCTCATTAACACTGGGAGGCCTATAACAAGTTCCAATGATTACCTTTGTAGTACGCACCCCCAAGTGCAGTTCCACCCATAATACTTCAGCCTCATCACACTCTCCATCAACTAAGTCAGTGGATAGATTGACTTGTGTACAACCTGCCTGCCTAGACACAGATTGAAGTTTGGCCAGTCCATGCTGAACCAGCCAAAATTTGGTCCACGTATGGCTGGTTTTAGTCTCTAAATGGCCAAAATACATAAGAAGCTGGGGTTGAGCTGCCTATCCAACACTAAAAATAGAAGACTAAAGGTCAAGGTAAGTGAGAACATGAAAACCCAAATCTTTGCAGGAACAAGATTTGCTATATTTTAGCTGTCAAACAGATATAAAAACAACTATATCTAGAAGTATAAAAAAAAAAATCTCTACATTTCTATCCAGGTTCTTTTTTTTCCCACATGTAAGTAGTTGTAGATGAAATAGTTTTTTTTATAAAAGCACCAATTTTCTAGAATATGTTCTTTTTAGATAATGGGTTGGCATATCAAGACATATTAATTTAGTACAGGATTCATATTCAAATTACTTTAGCAATAAAACACACACTAATTTTAACCACTTTATCATTTTCTACTTTATTACCTCAAATTAACAAACACATTAAAGCTGAAAAAAGTCTATATTTACACAGAAGTACAAAGTCCTACTTTCACACAGAAGTACCCAACCCCCCCCCCCCCAAAAAAAGTTGCGTATTTCCCCCCCAAATTAATTTTTTTGCATTTTTTATTTTAAATTATAAAGTAATAAAAGTTACCACAAATAAAAAAAAAGAGAAAGTAAATATATTGTAAATAAATTAAGAAACCAAACATTGTTAAATATGAAACAGTTTGGAGGGTAAGATCTAGTTCCATGGCGCCATCTAGTGGTGCAGGGTGGACACTGTCCAGGACATGGAGGGAGACGGGAGCTTCAACATTCAGTATCCCACCAGCCAGGACCCTCCCAACTAACTGGTACAACCCTCATTAAAATATCTTGTGCACCTTCACAGTCTTCATCAAAAGTCAGTAAGCAGCCATCTCAGTCTTTAGTCACTGCAGAAGGGCAGAGTGTAAGTTGCAAAACTGTGTGCATTTTTTTTTTTTCAAAACATTTTTTTTTTTTTCAAATGAGTTATACATCAAATCACTAGCAGCCACAGTGGGGGATACCCAACAATATACCTACTACTAAAATACATTATAACCTACAACTAAAACTGCTGCAACAGCTAGCGCTGTATGGGCAAACTCCACCTGTTCTGTTAAAAAAAAAACAAAAAAAAAACAAAAAAAACAAAACCTTGTCCTATATTGGTGCTATGGAGCTGGCATATTCTAAAATCAAGATAGGCCTCCACTGTGGATCTCTGTGGAAAATAAAACAAGATCCCAGCACTTCTCTAGCCCTGAAAGTTTAGCGACCTAAAAATCAAAGTAAACAATGCATCGCTCCATTGTCAGTGCAGACAGGAGAGACAGGTGCAATGGGGCATCCAAGCCTGGGAAAGGCAGCAGAGCAGTGCTGGAGATGCCTCTCCTGGTAACTCGCTTATTCTGTCCATCTCTTATAGAATAGAAAAAATAAAGTACAGCTAAAATCTTACATTTTGGAAAGAATGTGAAGTTGGAGTATTTTTTTTTGGGGGGGGGGGTGGTGGGGGGGGGGGGGGGATGCGGGGGGAAGATGTGGGGAGGTAAGCTAAAAAATAAAAAGGAAAAAATATATACAGTATATATCTATATGTAGTGTTCTGTTTAGAGAAAGCAGGAAGAACATCCGCTGTCCTGGACTGCCAACATATCTGGAAGGGGAGTGGAGCAGCAAACCTCCTCCCTGACGCATCAGTTCTTCCATGTCTGCGCCAGAACCAGCATCTTCTGCGTGGCTCTCTTCAGTGGCAGAAAATAAAAGTTAAAAAAATTAAATTCTCATCTTTAAAAGAAAATGAAATACAGTGAAGACACTGGGGAGAGAAGAGAGAAAAAAAAAACAGTGTTAATGTGTGAAAGTGGAATTTACCTTTAAGTCAATATACAATACTTGTTTCTGAATGGTCATGGCTCTTAAAAGCGAAAATTCACCATTTAAAAAATAAATAAATGAATGCACATTTTTGAAGGTAAAAAAAAGTGCATTGTGTCCTCGATAAAAAATTAGCATTTGGTGAACACCAAATAACATGTTTCATGACTAACCGACACTTACTCAGATTATAGGTGTAACAAACATCGGAAGCTGTGTGTGTCATGCAATCAGCGGCTTTTTTTTTTTTTTTTTTTTAAGAAAATGAAAGCAAATGTACCTATAAGGATGACTTCATAATGTGAACTCCCCTTACTAACCACTATGTGCCTTATTTCATAAAAAATTTCTAAAGCAACACTAGTAAGCAGTTTTCAGGTAAATACAAGTCAATTCAGTGACTCTTCAGCTCCCAGAAAGACCCAAACTTTAGCGTGCACTAGAATGCAAATTTCTACCAGCTCTCACAATTGTGAATTTTCCCACCTCCCTGCACTTACTCCTACTGGTCAGTGAAGTCACCAGTCAATGATGGGCCAGTAGTGAGGTAAAGAACTGGAAGGGTGCATTCACACCTCTGTGTTTTGCATTTTTGGGTGGGTGTGGTGTGACCACAGGAGCTGGTCCAAATTTGCAAAAACAGATTTCCCTAGAAGTCAGGGTCCCTGAAGCCCTTAATAGTAAAACTCAAGTACCTGCTGTATCAAACCAGTGATGCTTCAGGAACTTCACAAAATGTAGGATGCTTTAAAAGTGGGGGTCAGCAACCAGTAGATCGTGACCAGGTGACTGGTAGATCATGGTCAGGGTTTGCTGACCCGCCATCCCAGAGCATCAAATAGAGTGCAATGCAGAGGAACTACTTGTAATGTTGGAGCTGTAGTAAGGAGCAAGAGCCACATAAGTTGGATGTCTCCTTTGTAGCGCTGGCTCCTACGCCCTGTCATTGTTGGTGGGTGTAGCACCTGCTAAGCACGCTCTGCAAGTGCCCTGCAACCCTGTGTAGTACAGCAAACAAGGGATTAAACAGGCAGTGGTGTGTTGCTCTCTCACCAACTGCTTTAACCCCTTGGACCCTGCGGAAGCATGTAGTTGCGGGGTGCTTGCAGAGTGGCCCCATTTACTTGAATAGGTTGTGATTGGCAGGCAGTAGTACTCGCCAATGGCAACAGGGGGTTTATTCCTGCTGTGACATGTGAACACCTTTGGCTGCTGTCTCAGCAGCTAAAGAGGGTAGGGATTGGGGGGGCCATAAAACTGCGACTTTACATGTGAACAACCCTCAAGGGCTCATTCACAAGAGCAGCAACACAGTGTGTTTGACAGGCAATATGTTGCCTCCTCACCACCTGAGTTAAACCCATGATTGCCGTGCAATGCACACGTTTGTGACATGGTTGTATGGCAATTAGAGGTTAAATCAGCTGTGAGGAAGCAAACTGTGCCCGGTGATCTTTGACCTCTCCCATATTGTTCAGGTGGATCTCCACTTTTTTTTAGGTTGCATACCCTTGCTTTAAAGGTTGTGCTCAAGCTTTGGTATTAGCTTGACCAAAGATAGGTCTGTCTGAAGCTTCCCATGGAACTTACAAATTGACATTTACATCTGGAACCAAGTTTTCAGGAATTATACCACATTGGAACAAAGATCTATACAGTACATAGAAAAGACTTCACATGCATTAATCAAAAAAATACAAACAAAAAAGCTGAAGTGACAATAAAAGGCTTTTTTTTAAAAAAAAATGACAAACCTGTTCTACTTACTTGCTTTGTGCAGTGATTTTGCACACAGTAGCCCAAATCTTCTAAGGTCCCTCATGGTGCTTCTGGCCCTTCTCTCCTGTCAAGTGCCCTCACAGTAAGCAGCTTGCTATGGGGGCACCCAAGCAGACTCACTCCTGATGCTCTGCGTGTCCATTTACACACACAGCAGTGGCTAGGCCCCGTCGCCTCTCTCCTTGTTGGTTCACTGGCTGTGATTGACAGCAGCAGGAGACAATGGCTCCTGCTGCTGTCTTAACCAATGAGGAGGGAGAGTCTTTGGAGAGCCAAGGCTCTCATGCACATCGCTGGATCACAATGGGGTTCAGATAAGTATTAGGGGGGCTGTAGCACACAGGTGGTTTTTTACCTTCCTGCAGAGAATGTAAAAATTCTGGAGACTTTACAACCACTTCATGCTTTAATGGGTTATTTCAGTGTCTCGGAGCTGCAGTCCTGAATGGAAACTCATTCAGCATTATTTAGCATCAATGTCTTTACCCATTATATACCCTGAATACCAGTAAAGATAGAGGGGGAAATCTCCACTGATACACAGGAATAGGGGAGAGTTAGCCACGTTTAGAAATCTAGAAATATTACATGTGGCTGTTTTGCAGTGAAGCTTTCTCTACTATGCTTGTTGCAGCTTTGCCGATCAAGCAATCAGATTTTCCTTTTCATAATCAATACCCTAGTCTGGTGTATACTGATTAAAAGGAATACTATTTGACAAAAAAAAAAAAAAAACAACTCACCTAAAGCAAACATTGGTCCAATGGCTGCCCTCATTTTCCAAGATGGTCAAATGGTACGCTGGCCTGAACAGAGAAAACAGCAAAGGTCAACAGTACTGCAAGCACAAATCAAGTGAAATAATTCTGTATATTTATTGTGGATTATATAAATGGGTTATAGATCTTTAACATTTACATGTGTGGAAACATGTAGGTATCAAAAGACTATCTTGTGACACAAGCATACATTAAAGTGTTACTAAACCCAGGACCCTGCATTCACTATATCTGGTCTCCCGCAGTACACAGAACATGGAAACGCAATTATTTTAGTAAATATAAACTGCTAAATAATTTTTCTCATCAGCAGTTAGAGCAGTCTTCTGACTTCTATCAGTGTTCAGCAGAGCACTCGTTAAAGCTTGTAGAAGTATTCATTCTGCTCTAGGAGGATGCAGAACCCTTGACCTCTGTCTGGACAGTGCGGATTGGCCCTGTGCTGATCACATGCACTTTCCTAAAGAAAAAAAAAACCTCTAGCAATGCACACTAAATTGAGCATGTGCAGAGAGTCTCCAAACAATGTCTTATCAGGCGATAAGAGGGAGGCACTGGAAGAAGGGGAGGATCAGAGAAGTCAGGATCAAAACAGCCTTTTTACACAATGCAGAGGGTTAACCCCTTAGATCCCACAGTGAGTATTACAAGCATGCTTTACTGCATTTACAGACTGATTTTACTGTTGTTTGTTTAGTAACACTTTAAACCTGGAGTATGTGTAGCTACAGAAGTTAGAGTTCACAGTCTAACAGTTTACTATGCATACATTTAGATGGAGTCATTCTAGATTATAGCTGTATCTATACTCAGCACTTTCAAAGTTTTGGATAGAATGGGAAAAGTTTGGAACCTCTGTAATGTTTTACGGTTATCCAGGGCTCCAAATCTCTCCATCAGTAAAACCTTACATGGGTCTGGGGTTCACAGGAATTCCATTTGTCACAGGTATTTCCCTTGTAACCTCTGCAGCAGGATTGGGAATTTGGAACCAGATTTTTAGTCTCCCTAGGCTGGCCATCGATGACTTGTTTTTTTTCTGATCAGGCAGTGGGCTGCAGCCACTGATCAGAAGAATTTTCCAACAAGCCTGTTCGACATAAGTCAATCATTAGATCGACTTCTGTCGAAAGAGCATCCACACATGGAACAAAATTTGACCAGTCCCTACTGAACCATCTTAATTTCGAACCTTGGCGCCAGATTCTGCTCATCACTGACAGCACTGAACCTTGATAGCTTCCACAGCTGCAGAAACCCAGTACTACATACTGTTTTTATTATTGTTGACATAAAAGATAACATTTTATAAGTAGCCCTTGCATATAAAAAAAATATATTTTTTATATTCTAAAACAATTCTATGTAACCCCAAACAATGAACTTTGCTTCCTTTTGTTCTCCCTTTTTACCCTTGACATGCCTTTAAATATTTACAGGATAGCTCATTTGAATTTAAATGCATATTCACATGCATAGTTTGGCATTTTTTTTTTTACCTATAAGGAGCGACAAACGAGTTAATATTTTCAGAAATTAGACATTTGTTTCCTTTTAGGTGACCCTTATGGAGATTGTACAAGGACCATCAGCTTTCATTGGCTAAAGCAATAGTTAAATCCAACAGTCCTTTCTGAAGAAGTTTACAGGTGCAATAGGGTGGGCAATCTAAATACACCTTGGCATAAGACCATCTGGAAATCTCAATTGCTCCAGGTGGGTGCTGGTAGGCTAAATTACCTACTAGCTTCTTGTATCTCTTTCATAAGTGCTCAGTAGCAGAAGCCCTTATGATGGGTTGAGGCTAGTCTGAGTCCCCCAGAGATGGATCTAGACTGGTCCCCAAGAAATCAATGTGTGTTTCACCCCATAAGCATTTACCAAAGTTAAAGTATCAGTGGAATGATTATTTTTCTTCTCACAATCTGATGTACATTAGAAATTTCCCCAAGGAAGGCTGTATACTTATATGTTTAAGTAAAAAAGAAATACATCTCACAGTTACTAAGCGTATGGTCTCACCTGTGACGCTGAAATTCGTGAAACCTCTTGTCGCCCTGTGAGATCAGAGGAAGAGACATTTGCTGGAGCTCCTCGATGTAACCTCATGCTGACCTTGCGCTCTCTGTCCACCCGTGAGATTGCTCGAGGAGAAGTGTTACCTGGAATATTAATAAGGCAGTTGAAGCAGTATACTGTGACAAGCTCCTGCAGAGTGCCTTTTACAGCATGTACACTTTGTGTCAATTACAAAAGTTATTAGCAATCTGAAAATTCAAAAGGAAATGTACATTGTACATTTGGTATAGTGGTTTCAACACACTATATGGAATGACTGTAAATATTAATCCATCTTGCAGGTCTTTGGGCACAATAAAATTATGACCCTATGAACTGTCTGTAGATATAGAAATTCTCAATTTTCTTCACTGCTGAAAAATTCTCAAAGAAAAGTACACCTCAAAGAGTTATGACTAAAATAAGAAAAAAAGATTAGAGAAAAAGCACTTGGCAATAGACCGCTTACCACTCTGCTGAATTCGGGATGCTGGAGTAGAGGCTACTGGTTCTCCACCATTTCTGAGCCGGTTAGGAGCTGCACCAGTGGGAGGACCAGGGGGTAATGCCCTAGTTGTAGAACCTCTGAGTTGGCCCATTCTTTCTTCTCTATCATGTTCTCTTCTTTCCCTGTCCATATCTTCTGGATTCCGGGCTGCACCCTACAAAGAACAGAATTTAGAAGTTTGTTCTACATAAAAATTAAAAGCATTAAAAACAGGTTTATGATTTATGCAGGAAATGTATTCTTAAAATTTAGCTTCTAATTAAATTGTGCTTGTCACAAGTATGGTGAGTTCAATCTAAGTATGTGATGAGAAATGCTGCATAGGTAGAGATCATCTTCAGTGAAAATCAAGTTCAAAATGAACCTGATATATATATATATATATATATATATATATATATATATATAACAGTTTATATATCAGGATCATTTTGAACTTGACTTTCAAAAAGTCTCTCTCTCTCTCTCTCTATATACACACACAAAATACAAACTATGTTGTATGTAAATATTGACTGTTCCTGCAGACATCAAGTTTGGCCCCACCCTACCTTTCTGATTGTGGAGGCAAGTGGGCAGGGCAAAGTTCACCTTTTCCATACATCCTCAGCAACCTGTGTTTATGGATTTACTGATCTTTTTGACATGTGGCTTTTAGGGGAAGTTTTCGTTCCCAGGTGTGTGACATGTTTAAGGTACAACTATATAGGTTTTCTCGGTCGATTTGTTCCAGGTTCCTAAAGTAGGTGAACTTGGGTAGCAATGCTAATCAAGTTTTTATAATCACATTATGTGCACAATTTTTTAACCAAGGGAATTTGAATGCAACAAGCCGGTTAACTTTTTTTGAGAAATTACCTCTAAAATGAACTGTATAGACAAAATCCCATACTCACAAATTTCAGCATGTTCCAGTCAAAAACATAGTCATATGAGAAGCCTTGCCGATGGAAGAGGTTACGGAAGAGTTGTCTCAGGTAGGAATAGTCCGGTTTATCATCAAACCGAAGGGAGCGACAAAAATTCAGATATGTTGAAAACTCAGCTGGAAGAGAAAAAAAAAAGAAAACAAAAGTTAAGATGCTAAAAGAAAAATATCTTGGGAGTTCATTCACTCTTTTCTAAACACGTGCATCTTTAAATGGGGGTGCCATTCTGAGCATCTAAGAATGCTAGCTACCAGGCTGTCTTGGGTTTTAAATGGGGGTGCCATTCTGAGCTCCTACGAATGCTAGCTACCAGGCTGTCTTGGCTTTTATAAAAAATTTTACTCCCTGACCTAGAACAAACATTAAGATTAAGAGTGCAGGCAGAACTCCTGACCTGCATATTTGTAACAGGTCAATGACTCAAAGTACTAAAGCCATTAAAAGAACACGAAAGCTATCATTTTCAAAGGGAGAGGTCTGACTCCATATTCTCTTACTATAGTTTCTATGGACTGCAGTTCTTTTTTAGCAACAGAAAGGCCTCATGCTCCAGGAGAGGAAAAAGCAGAGTTAAAAATGCTCCTAAAGCTGCATTTTGAAAATGCATTTAGGCACATCAAGAGCCTAAGCATTCATTCATTTCACTGGCCAGAATACTATTTATTCTCGCCACTGGAATGAATGCCTCTAAACTCCTGTAAACGCCATGGACACATGAGTCAACATAGGGGCATTTAGAGGCCAAAAAACCCCCACACCACACAACAAAAAAAAACACCACCACAAAATGTCTCCAAAAGTGGCATTTTAATACCGTGTGTTAATGGGGCCTTACTTGTGCAAAATTACAAAAATATAAATGGGTTTATAAAATTTAGGATAGGATAGGGAGCAGTAATAACCTTTTTTTGGATTCTTTTACTTTCTGTATCATAATTGTGGAAATTACCCCTCTACATGTCCAGTAACAGGGAATTAGCTTTTTTTTCTTTTCTATTTTTTATATAGAGGAGGAGGGAAAAGGTTAAAACCTCTGTGAAGACTTGCTGTCAATGCTTGTCCAAAGACACTAATTTCACATTCTTGTGTGAAAGGATCAAAAGTAAAAAGACCGCAGCAGTAAGCCTTGATTCACACTGAATGCGGGTTTAAAATCACGCTACTTCAAAGCCACCATAGTGTGTGACTTCATGTGCGGCTTGCCAGCATCTGTGTGACTTCATGCGCAAATGTCAAGTCGCATATGAAAAAAAAAAAAGTCAAGAAACCTCTCTCAAAATCACACCGATTTGAATAGTTCCATAGCTTCAAATAGGGTGCAACTTTGATCTGTTCAAGTTGAATGACAAATCGCACCAGTGTGAACCAGGGCTCAATCAAACTTGAGGTGCTAATCCTTCCCCTACTTTAGCCAATACTACATTTTATAAACCGGGGCTTGACAAATTTGCTTAGACCAGGAGTCCGCTAAAAAAGTTAAGAGCCAGTTTTTTTAAATGACGAAGGAAAGAAAGACTGGGATGCCACTTCATCGGTCCAGGGATTTGAATTTCCCTTGGCCTTCTCTCCTCTCCTCCCAGCACTGACAGGATGGGCAAGACAGGTTCTGATTGGTCAGCGCTGTCCATGTGACAGTGCTGACCAATTAGAATGCCTCTTGTCTGTACACTGAGAGGTATGGAGAGGAGACAGATTAATCTGTGGGGAGTCTAATACCCTGGATCAGTGAAGCAGCATCATGGTGGCCTGGCACCTAGGATTTGTCAAATCCTGTTATAAACCCAATTACATTTTTTGGACTTTGACAGTGTAAAAGTGCCCCAATAAGATATTTTATGAAAGACCTCTCAGGAAAAACAAACTATACTGTAAAAACCTTTATACGTTGTTTTCAGCTAGATATACAGCTGGAGCAGTGCTGCCCTTCCTGAATATCCTGCAGGAGTTAGCCATTCTATGAAAAGTTAGGGAGTGTAAAAGCAGACATCAACAGAAGTGTAGCTAACTGTCTCATCAAGTGCTTCCCAAAATAACAGGAAATATGCACTCTGCAAACACCGGGGATATCAACTTTTCGATCATAAATAGGTTTTTAAAACATATAATTTTTCCCATTTAAAGACAGTTACCTTTATCTACATATATGTCATTATAGCCAACACAAAGTCACACCATGTGAAAACATGTATGTAATTAGAAACAGAATATTGGGCATAATAGATATATCCAGGGACTGTGCCAAAAGGGAAAAAACTATACAATTTACACAACTATTTCAATATACAGGTGTACCTTGGTTAATGAAAGCCTCGGTTCACGTAAATTTCGGTTTACGAATAAAAATTCATTGAAAATAATGCCTCGGTTTACAAATTTTTTCGCAATACGAAGTGTATGTCGGTGCCAATTTTTAAATGCAATTGGCAGCTTTTCTTTTTCTTCACTATATCACACAGAATTAGCTGTCACTTTCCCTGGAGCTAAAAGGATACTTTGTTTCTTTTATCTCCGGAAACAAACTAAAAGGAAACATTGTTTCTTTTAACGCAAGGAAATAAACTAAAAGGAAACTTTCTTTCTTCTAGCTGGGGGGAAAGTGACAGCTGATTCTCTGAGCTATAGTGAAGGGAAAAAAAAGAGGTATTTACATTTAAAAACCGGCACTGACCTATACTGACAGCAACTTTTTTTTTTTTTTTTTTTACTGACCTCCGGAACGGATTAATTGGTTTTCAGTGCATTTCTATGGGAAATCACATTTCGGTTTATGAATTTTTCGCAATACGAAACATCCCGGAGAACTCATTAAATTCATAAACCGAGGTACACCTGTATATAGTAAAGCCCCATAACAGGTGTATGCTTCCTATATTCAAAAGGCACATCCATTTCTAGGAATATAGGGGCACTTTTATAGATATCTTTACAGAGAGATAATTATTTTATTTTTAAAATATATTCTTAGTAAAATTATTTTTGATATGCCTTGTGTTTTCGGAGTGCACATTTACTGTTACTTGACCCTCTCTTGCATATTTATGCACGTAGCTTTCTGGCAGATGGGGCAACCCCCTAATTGAGGACAGTCAGCACCAGGAGAACTAATTAATTAGGTTGGGATAGCTACATAATTGTTTCTTTGTTGCTTCCCAAATGGAGCCAGCGAAGAATACTGAATTTTAGTAGACAAATGTACACCACAACCAGTCTAAATTTATCAGCTTATTTGGCACTTTCCAAACAGGAAAAAGAAAATTGCACATAGTCACATTGGAGTAAAGTAATAAACAAGCCAAGTCTTAAAGTATGCCAAAGTGAGTCCCAACTGGGAGCATGGGGGGGGCTCTCTCACCACAAAGATTGTCCCTGACATGTTACCCTGGAAAGTGCCTTATGTCTACCACTGCATAATTTGTGCTATTTATTGAATTTTGTGTACATTTCATTGCACCCTGAGGTAGCAGTTTATAGTGTCTATTTTATGTACTTCTCACAAAGACTCTGTAACATTGCACATCAACCTTAAGCATTTTGTAACCTACTGCAATTTTTGTCAAGCCTACGTTTTATTATACCTACTGCATGCTAAAAAAAAAAAAAAAAAAAAAAAAAGGAAGAGGTTTCCAAAGTGTACAAATAGGAGGCACTTACAAGGGTATCCTTTGCAGAGGACCTCAATAGGGGTAGACATTTTCTTCTCACTAATTCGTTCATATTTCTGGCGCTTGGTTGCTGCCTTCAGTCCTTGCCAAGGCAGCGACCCCAGGTTAAAATACATAAGCACATAGCCCAAGCTCTCCAAGTCATCCCTGCGACTTTGCTCTGTATGGAAAGAAAAAAAAAAAAAGAAGCTGTTTTCAAATTTCAAAATTTTACAAACTTCTTAAACAAAGGTGCTTCAGAATTTTTTTTTTCTGCTTATAAGAACCAGCGAAATGTTAGAAATGTCACAAAAACAAGCAGACACTGATCTTTTTTGCAATTTTATAATTCAGCCCAGCAAACCATAAGCATGAACAATTCAAGAACCCAATACCATCCTTCATAAAATCTTTAGTTTCGGAATGATTAGTTAAGTTACTAATTTCACTTCATTGCACTAGTAACAAAATTTGTTTAGTTAATCTTTTTTGTTTATTCATTTTTGACCACATTCAAATTTTTACTATGGATTTGAAGTATTAAAATCGAATTTGAATAAATCCAAATTCATTGTGAAGTATAGCTGGTTCTATTCTATTCAAAATTTGAATTTCAGAAGATGGCCATATTCTATTTTTTACGATTCGAGTTTCGGAAGATGGCTAAATGCTTTCTATTCTATACTAATCTTTTTTTTCTATCCTATTCTATTCCTTTATTTTCTATTCGATTATATGCCATTTTATTCTATTCTTTTCTATTCAATTTTGTTCTATTCTTTTCAAAATTCAAATTTCAGAAGACAGTTCTAGTCTCTTTATTTTATTCTATTCAAAAGACAGCTATATTCTAATCTATTTTTTCCTATTCTATTCTTTTCTATTTTATTCCTTTATTTTCTATTCTATGCTGTTTTACTCTATTCTTTTTGAAAATCAAATTTCCGAAGACAGCTATATTCTTTTTATATTTTATTACAACCTTGGAAGACGGCTATGTTCTTTCTATTCTAATCTGTTTTTTTTCTATTTGGTATTTTATTCCTTTAATTTCTATTCTATGTGGTTTTACTCTATTCTTTTCAATAATCAAATTTCATATTTTGTTTAATTTTATTCTAGTTGAAATTCGGAAGACTGCTATATTTTTTTTTTATTCTATTCGAAAATTCAGATGACTCTTTTTATTTTATTTGAAATTCAGAAGATGGCTATATTCTTTCTATTCTAATCTATTTTTTGTATTCTTTTCTATTTTATTCCTTTATTTTCTATTCTATGCTGTTTTACTCTATTCTTTTCTATTCTATGCTGTTTTACTCTATTCTTTTCTATTCTATTTTATCCTATTCCATTAGAAATTCGTAAGACTGTTATATATTCTTATTTTATTCTATTCTAATCCAAATTTTGGAAGACAGCTATATTTTTTATTTTACTCTATTAGAAATTCAAAAGATGGCTATATTCTATTCAAAATTAGAAAGAATATAGCCGTCTTTTGGAATTCAAATTGGAATAGAATAAAATAGGATGTAGCGGTCTTCCAAAATTCGAATTTTGAAAAGAAAAGAATAAAATAGAATGCATAGAATAGAAATAAATTACTAGAATAGAAAAAAAAACTGATTAGAATACAATAAAATGGAAAGAATATAGCCATCTTCTAAAATTCTATTTTATTCTATTACAAATTCGACTTTTGGAAGACTGCTAGTTTTTATTCTATTCAGTTCTAATCTATTTTTCATTGTATTCTTTTTCTATATTTTAGATTATATTCTTTATTTTATTCTTTTCCATTTTATTCTATTCAAATTTCAGAAGACATGTATATTCTAAGACACACATTTTCAAGGAAATCAGCAATAGTCAGCAATTTTGTTTTACATTTCAAATTTGATTTAGAATTTGAATAATTTGTTACTACTGTAATTCAGAAGTTCGGATACATCCATATCTCAGAATAACAAAAATTTTGTCTGAATTTTGATTTGGACCGAAACGAACTCCACAAGTGTAATATGTATCAGACATGAGGACACAGAGGAAATTTAAAGAGAGAAGGTAAGGAAGAAGTGTATAGTTGTCAGATTAAAAAAGGGAAAAACAGTGTTAGGTCGTAACGTAATAATGTAAGTACAAGGGAACAGAAAACAAAGGCAGGGGGGAAGGGGGGGGCGCAGAAAAGGGAAGGAGAAAAGTATGAGTATGGAGGGGAGGGGGAGTATGGAGGGGCAGAAATGAAGCCAATGGTCCCAAGTTAGGCATAGAACCTTAAGTTGTATTTTATCATATTATTTATTACCAAGAATTAGAATGCATTCTAAGCATGAGATGAAATCTTGCGAGCGACACTGTTTTCCAGAATGATTTATACTTGTCCTTACAGAAAGCTTCTTCATATTTATAAATAAATTATTTTGTGTATCACAAAGGCCAGGTGGGAGCATCTGGCTTTTCCCAATACAGAATGATACATGTACTGGCATACATTAAGGAGATGTACACAATACAGATCTATTTTTTGAAAGTGATTATGTTGGAAGTGTCTACTTGTATAGCGCAGTCTATGACCCTCTGGATATGTTCCTCCACCTTAGTGTCTCTAGAAAAGTACATCACATGAGTTCTGTACCATCTACCTAAACATTTATGGCTTCTTGTGGTTTTCTGCTTATGGAAGATTTACAAGCAAAGTAAAGAATAATTTCCAAAGGTTTTAAAACACCACTTATTGATAAGATTTGAGTGATGAACGTCCTTTCTTTTATGTTCTTACCTACCTATGCCCAGATGGGTATTTATAGATGCGTATCTTGCAGTCCCAGTAAGGTTCTTATTCTCTCTGTAAGGGATGTGTTGATGTGTCCGAGCATCACGATACTTCTTGGCTAGACCAAAATCTATAATATAGACTAGATTCCCCTTCTTCCCAAGACCCATCAGAAAGTTGTCTGGCTTAACATCCCGATGAATGAAGTTCTTGGAATGGATGTACTCAATGCGGCTGATCTAGTACAAATACAAAGAACAGGTTACAGGAAAGAGCACATACCAGAGAGCTTCTACCCCCCGATGATTTTTTTATTTTATAGTTACACTAAGCAGATACTGGCATGCCAATAGTTACACTAAGCAGATAACTGGCATGCCATTTATAAAACTTTACACAGAGAGTACCCTGCCTGTCACATTCTCACATAATACACAGAGGATTTAAAATAACTACTATCATAAAATGTGAAGAACAATAAAGCATACGTCAAAAAAATATATATATATTTAACTGGTATCTTTCAGTACCTAGACATGTATATTTTTTAATGTGTTGCTTCCACCTTCCTATGACCTGATCAAACTGTGTATTTTGGGTTCTGAACTCCAAAGTACTGTATGTGGTGTCAGTCCTGCCTACTTTATTTTTGATGACCTGCAAAGAACATTCATCTTCATAACCACTCTTTGTGCATAGGCAGAGCGCAAAGAAAGTTCTCTATGAAGATTTCCGGATTTTTTTTTGCATTTATTAAACAAAGTTAACAAAACACTTTTTATATTGGTTTATACATGTACAAAAGTGTGTCCGAAAAGTAATGAGAATGGTATATTAAAAATTCTTTTGTTAATTCATTTTACAACTGAACATGGTCTCCTTCAAAGTATGCACCTTGTGAGTGTACACAATGCTCCCAGCGATTTTCCCATTTTTCATAGCATCCCTGGAAGTCTTCAAGTGGGATGGCATTCAGAGCCTGCCTCTGACAGCCAAAGTACTGCCACTCAGCGTGTTATCATGATGAAGGATCCAAGTTGAGCCAATCTCAGGGCACACACTAAAAACTGTCTCAAGTCACCAAGAACGTCCAAGTAAAATCTTGATTCACAGTTTGACCAGCAGGTACAAATTCCTTAAGTACAATTCCACATTAAAAAAACAAAAACAAAAAATAAACCCAATAACCATTGATTTGCTCATTCAGGCTTTCTTGGGGCGAGGTGACGTGGGTGTATGCCATTCTGAACTTTTTTGTTTTTTTGTCTCAGAATTGTACTCAAACACCCAGGATTCACCTCCCGTGATCACTTGACTCAAAAAAAGCAGGCTCGCTTTCCAAAACGGGCCAACAGGTGTTGGCAAATGAGTTGACAAGTTCTTTGGAACAAGTTTTGCACACACATTTCTCATGTTCAAATCCTGAGTCACAATTCCATGAATAATTGACTCGGTAATTCAAGTATTCTTTGCAATCATTCTCGCAGTGAGCTGTCAGTCACAGTTGAGAACAAACCTGACTGCATCCACATTCTGTTCCATTTTTGATGAACAGGGGTGTCCTGATCGTTATTCATCTTCAACACCTTCTCATCCTTTCTTAAAGGCATTGTGCTATCGGTGCAAATGTGCAGATGATAGCGCAGCTTCTCCATAAGCTTTCCTCTCATTTCCAAAGTTTCTGATGCACCTTTACCAGATTTCACACAAAATTTTATCGCATACCGTGGTTCCAAACTTGCTTGCATTTTTCTTAATACGAGGCATTTGAACAGGGTGTCACAAAAAAAGAATGTCTCGGCTCTGACAGGGCTGGAATGCAACTAATGAGTGTTCTAACGTATACCTGGCACCCCACCCAAAGTGATCTTGGCAAGCTTCTCCCTTTAGAGAGCCCTTCGAGCATAGGAACTTGATTCTCATTATATTCTGGACACACCTTGTCTATTGAACAGGCCAAAGGACAGAAAATAAAAAGTTCATTGACAGGGCTTACAGAACGTTTTAATAAATGCATAAACAAAAAAATAAAATTGCCTAGTTATCAAAATACAATATTGTTCAGTTGACCTTGAAGGATAAATTTGGGATACTGAAATTGAGGTGATCAGGACACCTGTTATCAAGTCTCCCTTGAAAGCTAAAGGCTGCACTGCCCACCCCTGGCACAGCATACCCTCTAACTTTAAAGGATAAGTTCACCTTTGGGAACATGTAACATGTTCCCACTCCTACAGCCTCTCACCGATATCCCGACACCCGCTGTCACAATTTGACTCCACCCACAAGGCCGCTTCATTCATTCACAGAGATTTGTGAATGAATGAACTACAAGTACCGACAGCCTTTGTGGCTGATGGCTTGTAATTCTCAATGAACAGCCATGGCGCTCGTGAGTACGCTAGGTAATTCATGGAGTCTGTCATTGTGTAACTGCCTGCCCGCACGAGGTATGAACAGACAGCTTACACAGACTGCTAGAGATGCATTACACTTACAATCTACTGATGTAGGCTCCTACAAAAGAAAAATAAAAGATTTTTTTTCTGTGTATGCGTTAGAATTTTTTTCAAGGCTATGTTCACACTTGTGGGCTGGTTGCGGGAATCGCACCTTTTCCCGCAACCGAACCACCTGCAGTCGAATCGTGCTGCTCTTGCGAGACACGCATGGCTGCTATTTATTCTGAATGGCACCCCTACACATCTCAGACCACAATGCATTTGTGGGTGCAGGACCCTTAGAATTGGTGGCTGCCGCAGGGAAATTGCATGGTCTTTTTCCCTGTGGCCACATTTTTAAAAAGGTGCATGCACTTTTTTCCTGTGAGAAACGCAGCACAGCAGCCTGTTCAAATAAATGGGCTGCCGTGCCCGAGCAAACGTGGGCCACACAGCCCACAATAGTGTGAACTGGGCCTAAGAAAGGTGAACCTATGCTTTAACAGTTACAATTGGAAATAGCAATGCTTCTTGGAGCAGCTAGATGCAGAGCCAATTGTGCCAGCAATCCTGACAGGTTCCATTTATAAAGCTGACCTTGCATCATAATACAAGGTTTACGTATTCACTAGAAATCCCCAGGATTGCATCGCAGCAACCATGGGGAAAATTCAGGTGTTTGTTTTTATAGGTGAAAAAGTGTATCTTCCAGTTTGAGGCATATTTTGCTATAAGTATCCTTTGAAAACGCTTTCTTGCCTTAGTTTTCATTTTTCAGGCTATGAACACTTCAGAAAGTACAGAAAATACCTGTAAACTACTAATCCCCTCACTGCCCATGTAGAGGAAATGGAGTGAAAGACATGTTTAAAGTCCAGCCTGGCTGGCAACCACAGCGGCCTCAACAGGTACAGTGGAGTGTATGAGAACGAAAGGCAAAAATTTCTCGTTCACGGGATCACTGGGTGAAAATAAAGGGGAAAAAAACCTGAGAAAGGAAAACAAATGCAACCTCCACATCCAAGCACTGCTAAGATGCAATATATTATATTTTTTGTTTCTGGGTTTTGACAAGCTTGATGTTACACAATGTTGTATTGCAATCAGTGACATGATATCTCTGTTGTATTTACCATCTGATCTGCCAGGAGGAGCACTGTCTTCAGGCTAAATTTGCGGGAGCAGAAGTTAAAGAGGTCTTCAAGGCTTGGGCCCAGTAACTCCATTACCATCACATTGTAATCTCCCTCTGCACACACACCATTTGATTGAAGGAATCCCCACTGCCAGACAGAATGTGAACGTAAACACATGAAAGAAGCTTATGATTCTATGCTGCAGCTCAGCTCCTTGTGTTGTCATGGGTAGCTGAGTACCTAAAGACCTAGAAGGTAATTATAAGTTAACAAAGCATATGCTATTACAGAAATAAAGATTATTATTTATCAAGCTGCAAAAAAAAAACCCCAAAACAATCATAATAGACTATTTAGAAAGCACAATCCTGTAAAGAAGGAGTTATAGACAGAAATATACAGAACACTCTTACCCTCTGAAAGCTCTGCACAACAAATGGTGCATGTACTAGTACTTCACATAGAAGACCAATAACACCAATATCAATCTAATGCTGGCCATTCAGATGCTGGCCATACAGATTTTTTTCTGTTCAGCCTTGAGGCTGAATGAAAAATAAAATATAACAGATTCCTCCATCCATGCTGCACAGCATAGATGAATGAATCTCCCATTGCAGATACTTTGTTTAGACAGCCAGCCTTGCCAGATGTCAAATAACCTGAACAGTGCATTTGACTGGATGCAGGCACTGTTTGGCCAACAATTTGCCGTCTTTCGATTTTTCAGTCATGGGATGTGGGGATGGAGGCAGGGCAAATTTTGCCAATCAATCAGGAACTGTCTGATATTCAGTGTATGGCAGCTTGACGCTCCCAAACCTTTGCACACATTAGCGCCACCCTACAAACATGGGACAGGGATATGCCATGTTCATACCCAAAGTCTGCATATTGGCAGGTTGACAGGTCAGCAGGTCTTTGTGCTCCCTCCCCCACATATTTATTAAACCTATGTTATCATACATAAAATGCATCGCAAAAACTTAATCTAAAAAAGAAAAATTAAAATAATAAAGAAAAAGTCCTTCATATACAGCGTCATTAGTCCATCACCAATGTCAATATTGTGTGATATTCAGACAATATTCTTCTATAGCATCAATAGAGACCAAATATACATCACATCTTAGAACAAGGATCACAGACATTCTTACAAATCACAGCGTGGCTCCGCCCCTATAAGTTACGCCCTCTGGGCTTCTTTGGCAGTAATAGATCCTGGTTCTATTATGTGATGTATATTTGGTCCCTATTGATGCAGAATCCGTAATACGCAATTCATAACACACTGAGGGTGCTTATTTATGTGAGTGCAATACAATAGGTTTTAACAAACAGTGTTTTTAAGCTGAAGTACACTATTGGTCCCATTTCTGTATTTCTATGTGGCCGAGCTTGTGAGTCCTGTGGGATGGAGGAAGAGTTTAACAGAGAGGAGTGATGGGAACGCTGCCTTTGAAGGAATAAGCAGCTCTTATGACCTTAAATATGTTTACTGGGGTCCATTGGAAGAGGTGAGCAATCAGTTCACACTGTGGGGTGATTGTTTATTTGCACATGTATATTAACAGAATGTGAGTGCATTACTGAAGTATTTGGAATCTTTTGTTGTGCAGGGAGAGCACCATTGTGTTTCATTTCGTTTGCATGTCCTCATACCTGTAAGAGTGGAGCTACAGCAGGAGAAGAAGTAGAAGACGGAAGTTGAATGGTTGAAATATCTCTCTGGATATGAGAACACATGCTCTTACGACCTTAATTGATTTTAGGGTCCACTCTAGAAATTGAGTATATATTTCACGGGGTGATCAGAATAGCAAGAAGAATATTGTCTGAAGACTACTAAAGATATCACACACTACTGACATTGGTGATGGACTAACGACACTGCATATGAAGGACTTTTTGCTTTATGTTAATTTTTCTTTATTTAGATTGAGATTTTGCGCTAAATTTTATGTATGATAACCATTTTTAGTGTGGTGAGAAGCACTATTGGTGCTTAGCAGCAATTCCTCAAGATACACTGAGGGGTGATACTGCGCTGATTGTTTATTGGTATATTTATTAGGTGACACTATGTGCCTTGGAGGATGTGCAGTTAGCAATGATAGATCAGTGACTGAACAGAACAAGTTAAAGTGTGTGTGTGTATAAATAAAAAATAAATAATAAAGAAGAGGCCTTTAAAAGCACATTTGAAGGTTCAATATACAATTTTCTTCTACAATTTTCCTTTAGGCTTTCCAAAAACCATATGACGTCAAACCTAAACAACACCTTCAATTGTATCCAATCAGGCAGGCCCTTTCCCTACATAGTTGAAGGTAAATCTAACGAAGACTGTACAAAAATTCTGCAAGAAAATTGTATAATGTATGGGCAGAGAAGGGATTGACTACAGTGGAGAAGAAATTAATATGCAAAGGATGTTTTTGGGATGACAAAGACAATAGGAAATGTATCAAGTGGCCAAAGTGTACAAAGCTTTGTACACACAAGTATAAAATTGAAGTCACATTTCTGAGTAACAGTCAGAGGAGAGATTTGAAGCAACATTGCAGGAGTAAGACAAAAAGTAGATGCAGTACAGCAGCATTTGGAAAGGCATAGAATAGCACCAGTCTGTATGTCGGCAGACTACATGAGGGTATGCACTAATATTTTAATTTTATCTTGAATGGAAATAAGATTGATGTGTGACGGTTTCAAGGTGGAGATGACTGAAGGGGTTAGTAAATAAAATCAAAGGCACCAAGGCAATGGGTTTGCAGTGCAGGGTTACGGACTGTTGACGACATTAACCTTTTTCAGGTAGATACAAAGTGCAAGCTCCAATTCATCCACACAAAGGTTATAACAAAATTAAACTTTGGCCATTCAGGCAACAAGTTTGCATTATTTCCCCCATCCATATATGCAGCTCTCCCCTTCAATTCAGCTCTCTGCTCAGTACTGGGAGGTAAGGAAATGCCCAATTCCTGGTGATTTAAAGCGGAGTTCCACCAAAGTGGAACCTATGCTTTTCTGCCTCCTCCACTACCACATTTGGCACCTTTTGGGAGGTACATGGTTTTGACAGGCCGCGGTGAAGTCTTTCTGCACTCCGTATGACCCTCCTCCCTCTGCATTCTAACCAGAGGTCTCAATTTCTTTGCTTTGTAAAGCCCACTCAACTTCATTATTCACAAACTTATGGAAGCACAGTCCTGACAGATTTACTATAAACACGAATTCCAAATATCGATTTATTTTTCTTTTTCCCCAAAGTTACACTGGTCCGGCTTGAACCGATATAACCATGCATATGCCCTACTTGTAGGATCCCCATTAAAGATAGAAATCATTGTAGTAGTCACTGCTACTACAATGATCACTGCTATCTTCCACGTCCCATACCGAGTGGCTACTCAGCTGTATAGTAACAACAGGGGGTCCCTTGCTAGAGACAGACATCATTCACAGAACGCCCTGCATTTTTCACAGTGAATGCAAAGCATCCTCTGATTGGACAAGGGAAACAGGTCATAACCTCCCCACTTTTCCACCTCATCCAATTAGAGAATTCATTGAGAAAAATGCAAGGTGTTCTGTCAATGGTGCCCATGCTGAGCAGGTGACTCCCTGTTACTATGCAAAAGGAAAGCTGTTCAGTATATGACAAGGGTGACCACTACAGTAGCAGTGACTACTACAGTGATTCCCAGCTTCCACACTAATCCCACATAAACAGAATATGCATGTTTACATTGGTCTAAGCTGAATCAATGTAACAGGCAATACAATTCATACCTGGAATTCAGCTTTAAGAACATTGACTGCTATACTAAAACAGTCTAGCTCATAAAGTAGCTGCCCTAGCTTTGGGTAGACAAGTCCAAGTTAAGCAAACCAATATTCCAATAAACCAATGTTGTAGCCCAGTTCTGATAGGCCTTACCTCCCCCCTGCATCATCTTGTAAAACTTGCTCTCAATGTGCAACTGAGGGTGCTTTGTCTTCACACATTCCAGTTTGATGGCCACCTCCTCACCAGTGGCAATGTTTGCACCTGTGGAAACACAACACAAACACATCCATCATGAGCTTGTGTACATTCGGTCATAAAACCAGTCTATTGAAACCTTTCTGGAAGGCTGGAAATTCTTCTTCCTTAAACATATCATATTACATACATTCTAGATATCGAAGAGTTTAATAGGGCTTTGCAGAGCCACTAAGTAGTGACAGCAATTATAATGATAGACATTACACAATATATACACACTTGGCTAATTAGATTAAAATATTTGTTACACTGCAGAATAGATCAGCCTATACAACATGCGTTGTGTATAAGCTTTCTCTGCCCAATTTCTAGGGATATATTCTTTTTCAGGCTAAAGCAGATTCCTCCATCCAAAGTGGATGGAGAATTCCCCTCATTGCCAAGCCTAAAGTTGGCCATACATGTATAGATTTTCGTTTGAGAATTTTCCTTTCAGGTATTTGATTTTAAGTCGTTAGTGGGGTCAAATCGAGGTTTCGTTTTCGACAGCAGCGACTGGAAAATTCGAAGGGGCAGAAAGGAAAACTTTTCTTGATCAAACTAATTTCCGGCCAGTGTATGTGGTTATCGCTCAGAAATTACATTCTTTTTAAAATCGAATAAAAAGCAAAGACAATTTTCAAATGACATTCGTCCATTCACCAAATGTGCAAAGAATTTTCATAAGACTTTTCTTACGAATATTCTCACCCAACGATCTACACGTGTAAGGCTAGCTTAAGCAAGCCACTAGGGGTGCTGATGACAGATGAAAACATTGAAGCATTTTAATACAAATAAAAGCAAGCTTTCAAAGATCTACATTGTTCTGCAGGTATATTTCATAGTTGGGGAAAAAAAAAGAACACATTTTCCAAGCAATTATTTTTTTCACACTGAAGTAAAATGGAATGAAAGCAAATGGGCAGATTGGCATAGCATTGTACAAACACTTCTCTAGGTGTCCTCTTTTCTACTAGATTGGGTGACAGTTTATTGTCTACCAAGTACCCCCTGGTGAAGACAACTAAGGCTCATCTTGGGGAAAAGTGGACAGTTTAGAAAATTAAAATCATTCTAAAGTTCAGATGGAGGCACAGAGACCTTTTCACATTCGAATCTGACCACGGAAACAACAGCTGCAAGCTGTTTGCGATTGACAAGAAAGCTGTCCTCTCCAGTTTGGTTACATACATTTTTTCTTCTTTCTTCCTTGAGTTCTAGGTAGGTGGGTCTGACAGATTTAGTCAAATGATTAGTCCGAGTGTGGTAAGTAGGAATGAGCTCAGGAGTGTTCGGATCCTAGTCAAGACCCACCCATGCAATCCCGCCTGGAAGTTGTCACCTGCACTATGCCAATCATAAGCGTCCAAGGAATTCTCCATCACAACGTCAGATATACAAAGGGTGTGTATACAGGCGGCTTCAGCGCAGGGATTGTCTCATGTGCTTACGACTGGCCCAGTACAGTGACCACTTCCTAGCGGGATTGTACAGGTGGGTTCGGACTAGGATCTGAACATGCCTGGAGCTCACCCCTAGTAGTAAAAAAGCAATAAAAAAAAAAACAAATGAATTAGAGAAGTTGGGAGCCAGTTCTGTTTCTGGTTGAAAAGCAATGAGCTGAACTCCCTTCTCCAGTGCTCTTATAAGCGTGGTTTCAAGAAAGGAATATACGAGTATTTTTGTCAGTTTAGGAAAATCATAGCTGGCTGCAGTTAGAAACAGAAAAGCAATTCTTGCCCACAGGACTCATTTATATTTGAGTGCACATTGCCAAACAGTATACTGCCCTTTTATTTTTAATGGGGCCTTAAAGCACCTCCATGGACCCAAAGCACATACCCCCCAACACACATTTTTGTCGGTACAGTGCAAGGCAAAGTATGTATTCTTTATTCCATGGGTTGCTGTGCACTTGGAGATAGCATTCATTTATTCAACATATGTATATATTTGGGCGCCACTGAAATGAATGTCAATGCAATGGAACACTGAAGCAGACTTTTGTTGAACCATGCATACCGACCAGTGAAATACGCAATGCATACATGTGAAGCCATCCCAAAGTTCAGCTGAAGGCTTAATTTATATGTTGTATCAATTATTTAAAGTGTTACTAAACCAAGGACCCTGCATTCACTATATCTGGTCTCCCACAGTACACAGAACATGGAAGTGCAATTATTTTAGTAAATATAAACTGCTAAAATACCTTTTCTCATCAGCAGTTAGAGCAGTCTTGAGAGACTTATATCAGAGAATACTAGTAAAAACATGTAGAAGGAGTTTTCATTTTGCTCTAGGAGGATGCAGAATCCCTGACCTCTGTCTGGACAGTGGTCATTGGTCCTGTGCTGATCACACTCTCCCAAGAAAAAAAAAAAAAAAACAAACCTTTCTAGCAATACACACCAAATTGAGCATATGCAGAGTGACTCCACACAATATGTCTTATCAGGAGAGAAGAGGGGGACACTGGAAGAAAGAGAGGATCAGAGAAGTCAGGCTCAAACAGTCTTTTTACACAATGCAGATGATTAACCCCTTAGGTTTCACAGTGAGTATAACAAGTATGATTTACTGCATATACAGACTGATTTTTACTGTTGTGGGTTTAGTAACACTTTAATAAAGGTGATTTCTTTTCCTACCTCAAAGTGGAGCACAAAATAAGTGAGTACTCCTAAGTAGCATTAAACCTTCCATATCAAATTAAGATCTCAATTTAAATTCAATTATTGTATCTACAAAATCGCCTTATTAGGGTACTGAATGATGGAAACTGACTGCTGGAAAACGTAGGTTAAAAAAAATCTGTTTAGCCACGTTTGCATACCGCGTTTGCGTTTAGAAGCGTTTTTTTAAAGAGAACATCAGGATACCTTGCAAAAAGCCAAAATTAACTATTTCAGACATTTTGAGAGAAATAGAGAGAGCAGAAGCAGAGAGAGCAGTATATGTTGAGATTACCTATCTTTTCTGGTTGTATTCACTATGGATCCCATCATGAGCATAATGCAATATGTTCTACCATTTTTTCCTTCACGCAAAACTTAGAACTGACTGCGCTGGTGTTCTGGGTCCATTTGAATACATGGAAAATGCTTTGCATGCATTTCTGATTATTACGAAAGGCTGTGGACAGCATTTGGCTATGGAACGGTTAAAAAACGCTTCTAAGCGCAAACGCTTATAAACGCGTTTAGCTGCGTTTGGCACGCTGATAAAATCTACTCCTGAACGCAAGTTTGGTGCATTAAAAAAAAAAAAAAAAAAAGACGACTGTAAACTCAACTGCCTGTAAACAACTGTAAACGACAGTGTACATGGACACATAAGAAAACATTAGGGAGAGTTCAGAAGCTGCTGAAAAAAAAATGCAGAAAAGCTCCTGAATGTGAGTTTATCAGCTGCAGTGTACATGAGCCCTTACTTATATGTAGTGGCTGCATTATTATTATTTTTTTTTTTCTTCCCTTTGTTTTCACCCAGGTCAGGAACATATATCTCCTGTATTATACAGACACCACTCTGGATGAATGACCCCTGGGTGCAGATTTGAATAGCCATATTGTCAATCTGGGGGGAGGGGAGTGTTATATGTACTAGCAGACTTATTTACAGTAGCAAATTGAAGCCAAACTTCAGCTGGTGGTCTGTCTCATCCCTGTAACTGCAAGAGATCTTTTTTTTTGAAAAACAGTAGACTTACTGGCCGGATCACCAGATGACCATGGAAGAAAAAGCCTAAAGAAACTAATTCAGCCACAACATACAAAAAATTTGTAAACTGCATTAAATTAAATGTTTGCTTTTGGGTTTAATACGGACTTTAAAATAAACTACTGCAATATTACAGTGAGGATGACAAAACCATTACACAAAATGAATGATCAAGAGAAAATATCGTACACTAGCCATACAGTTAAACATTTTTGTTCAGCCTTTGGGCTGAAGAGAAAAAAAAAAAAAAATCTAAGATTCTTCCATACACACTGTACAGCATGGATTGAGGGATCTTCTTTCTGCAGCTATTGTCCTCTGGTAGCTGGTACCATTGGCTGCATCCGATTGGATATTCAGTCTGGCTCCTTCAATTTTTCAGAGTATTTTGGCCAGTAGGAGTGGTGAGTGTGACAGGGCCACCTACTGAGTGAAGTTTGCCCAATTCATCAGGAATGGGCCAAAATTTACATATTGCATGTCCTGTTGTAGTTTGGTCAAGTGATATACACTGCTCAAAAAGATTAAAGGAACACTATGAAAACACATCAGATCTCATTGGAGAAAAATCTCATGCTGGATATCTATACTGATATGGACTGGGTAGTGTGTTAGGAACGTAAGGATGCCCCATCGTTTGATGGAAATGAAAATTGCCAACCTACAGAGAACTGAATTCAAAGACACCCCAAAAATCAAACTGAAAAATTTATGCAGCAGGCTAGTCCATTTTGCTGAAATTTCATTGCAGCAATGCAAAATGGTAATCAGTAGTTTGTATGGCCCCCACGTGCTTGTATGCATGTCTGACAATGTCAGGGCATGCTCCTAATGAGACAATGGATGGTGTCCTGGGGAATTTCCTCCAAGATCTTGACCGGGGAATTACTGAGCTCCTTGACAGTCTCAGGTGCAACCTGGTGGAGTCGAATGGACCACAACATGATATCCCAGAGGTGTTGTAATGGATTTAGGTCAGGCAAGCATGGGGGCCATTCAATGGTTTCAATTCAGTCATCCTCCAGGAAATGCCTGAATACTCTTACATCATGAGGCTGGACATTGTCGTGCACCAGGAGGAAACCCAGGACCCACTGCACCAGCGTAGGGTCTGACAATGGGTCCAACAATTTCATCCCAATACCTATTGGCAGTCAGGGTGCTATTGACTATCCTGTAGAGGTCTGTGCATCTGTCCATGGATATGCCTCCCCAGACCATCACTGACCCACTACCAAAACGGTCATGCTGAACAATGTTACAGGCAGCAGAATGTTCTCCATGGCTTCTACAGACCC